AAACGTTCACTGGTTATACGATGCAGTATTTTGACAAGCTACCTAGTTTTGCAGCTTGCGCGTGGGGCTGTATGTTCCTCATATTTTCATCCTGTTAATAGCGCCTGTTTGAAATGGTGGTAAATTTATGCATTTTAAGAAAACTGCAAAGTCATGGATCCTTCTGTATCTTGCAGTGAACCTTTTGGTTTTCTAGCTGATTAAGTGCTCGACCTAATATTTGGAGACATGAAGGGTATGAATATTTTGTGGAGCTAGGAGGGCTATAGCGTAATGTATTTGTTTATAAAACTTCTCCAAAGTAGTGCACACTGGGAGAGAGGAAAAATATATCTCAGAGGAAGAAACGAATGAACTGCTAAAAGCATTGCCCATCTAGCTTTTGGGTTGCAACTAACGTTGTAAAGGCGAATTTGGCGACCATATTAATCTGGAAGCTGAGTCGGGTCATTTTATGGTAGCTGCAAAGAAGATTGTTTACGATCTGTGTCTGTGGATTAGGTATCCGCAATGTGAATATTAAGTCCAGCATTTTGACGGACCTGGTTGGACAGGTAATCCATTGTACCCAGCCTCCTGCTTTGATGAAAGGAAGAAAAGATCCGTGCAACATAGACATTGGGTGGGATGACCAACGTATTTTCGTTGGGAGGAAATCGCCGGCAATAATCTTCTGGCTGTGTGGCAACTCTGAAGCGAAGTCAAATGCAGTAGCGATGTTGGTGTTTCTTACGTTAGACGCTTACCGTGGGTTGTAGATACATGCGAGCAGTGTGTAAGATGAGACACCCGCAAGTGAGAGCCAAATAGATGCAGGGATATTTTCTATTTGTGAGTTGTCTATAGGTGTAGCTGTAAATGTTTTGCGTAGGTATGGAAAATTGGAGCGAAGCGGTAGACTGGGAGATGCTATAACGTGCTATTCTTAGCCGGCTAATTGGACTTTTGCCTCAGAGTTGAGAGGACAGTGTTTTCGGCGGCATTTATCTGGCTACGTTGGCAGAGTTTTTGTTAACACGTTTTTCGTGGTCAAGGCTGTTGGAATTTTGATTTTTCTTCGGCTGGGCTAGAATTGCTGCGGAGAAATTTCTGGGTGGTTAATTCGGAATAGCGAAAAGGGGAAGATCTAACAATGGCGACGGGGGGGGGGGACAAGCACGGAAATGTTAAAATGTTTCTGGCCAAAACCAACTAAACCTTGGAGTCGTGTTCATGTAGACTTTGCAGGCCCAATCAATGGCCAGAACTTTCTCATAATGGTCGACACTCATAGCAAGTGGCCCGAAGTGTTCCTAATGAAAAGCACGAAAACCAGCGCAACCGTCTCTAGGTTGCAACAAATCTTCAGCAGGTTCGGCTGCCCTGAAACATTGGTGACGGACAATGGAGCACAGTTTACTTCGGCCACATTCATGGAATTCTGCCAACGCTGCGCCATCAAACACTTGCGGTCTCCACCATTCCACCCACAATCGAATGGCCAAGCAGAGAGGTTTGTGGATACATTCAAACGCGCTCTCCTCAAATCAAGGAGGGAGGGAGACCTAGAGGAGGTGATCGACCGCTTCCTATTTCTGTACCGATCTACACAAAATCCACAAACGCCGGGTGGAATATCACCAGCAGAGGCAATGATGAAGAGAAAACTTCGCATGCCATATGATGCAGTTCGGCCATCCTCAGAGTCCATAGCTGGTGAAAGGAACCTAAAGATGGAACGTGATTTTAATCGGCGGTTTGGTGCCAAGCAACGTTCGTTTACACCGGGTCAGCCAGTACTTGTGCGTGATTATCGGGGTGGACACGCAAAATGGACGCCAGGAACGATCCAGTGCAAGCGCGGAAGCGTCATTTACGACGTGCTGGTTGGAACGCAGGTATGGGTACGCCATGCAAACCAACTGCGAACAACAATGTGCCAGCCACAAGCAATAGAATCCGCCAAGCTTCCATTTGACCTGTTGACAGACAGCTTCAACTTGCCTACAGAGCCAGTAGAAGAACCCTGTCATCAGACGAATAATACCAGACCGCAGAGTACGGAATTCGAATCCAGAACACTACAGCCAAGGCGATGCACCGGTAGGCGAAGAATCCCTTCCAGGAGGCTCCAGGTTAATCCCGGCTAGCTTCATACACAACGGCAACAGCTTCAGGAGGGGAGGTATCCGGGAATCAGATAAAAACATAAAAGAAAAAAGGGAAAGTATATAATGGTGACTGAAAGCTGGGCTAAAGAGAATCGCCTACCCCGTGCGGTCGATCAGGCAATCGATCGAGCGGACGAATGCGTTTTCAAACACCCGGCTAATTGGACTTTTGCCTCAGAGTTGAGAGGACAGTGTTTTCGGCGGCATTTTCTGGCTACGTTGGCAGAGTTTTTGTTAACACGTTTTTCGTGGTCAAGGCTGTTGGAATTTTGATTTTTCTTCGGCTGGGCTAGAATTGCTGCGGAGAAATTCCTGGGTGGTTAATTCGGAATAGCGAAAAGGGGAAGATCTTTAACACGCGCGTGTCATCAGGTTAACACATGGTCGGACTGTACGTGTTTATGAAGGTGGCAAACTTAACTTTGCCAAGTCGTAGGCGAACAGTCATCAGTCGCGCGCTGATGCCTGTTAGTTCACCAACCAGTTTGCCATGTAGACGATCGGATATTGCAAATCCGACCCCATGATCACGTGGTGCTGAGGCGGCGTTGCCCATCAAGTGGAATGCGTAGCCAGCACCTGCTTCGTGCAACTTACCTTGCTCAGCGAGCCGAGTTTCACTGGGCGCGGTAATATCGATGTTGTAGCGCGCCAGTTCCATCGCGACGAGTGCAGTGCGTCGCTCCGGGCGCTCACTGGAATTCCTGTCCAGTAGTGTGAGCACGTTCCAGCACCCGCTGCTGAGTGCTTTGCGCACAGGCATATTATTGCATTGATGGGCAATTGCACGCGAGATGGTCTTTTTGCTTCTTAGCTTTACTTTCAGGACTCTTCCCGGAGCCTTTGGCTCAACAGCCGGACCCATAAGGCATTGGGTGGTTTGGAGTTTTGCTTGATGGACTCCGCCGGGAGCATTTGGCTCAAAGCCTGACCCACAAGGCAGTTAGGGGCAGATCCAGCTCGGAAATGTGATTGCAGAGCAGATTGGGATCCGCTTGACGGCCGTCGCATGCAGCCTTGTGGGTACCGGAACGATTTATATATGTTTTGTGACCTTAGTGGGATACACCTGCGACCACGGCCAGACGCAGTCGGGTTTTGGCGGGTTTGCACCAATTTGATCAGGGGCTGCCTGGGTTGATGCGCGCAGTAGAAAACCCTTGAACACCCAAAGGTACCCTCCCACCGTCAGAGAAAATGCGTGGCGCTCGTGATCTACGCCAATCGAGCTGTGTGTTTATAACCCGTAGACTTTTTTCTCTAAAGGCTAGGTTTTACTAGGAGAGGGCCATCGACCACTTCCTAACCTCCGAAGAGGATGGACTAGGATACTGGCAGGGCGCCCACTCCTGACAGGAGAACGACTAGGGTCCTCGGTCAAAGAATTCGATTAAATGTACACTCAAAAGGCAGCGGGTCTAGCACATGGTCAGTTCACTGACTCATGCGGTTTGGTATCCTGGATCTTAGCGTGGAGAAAGGCGAAACACAACTCCCACCCAGCGGTCGCCACGAGGAGCCGCTCAGGACATGAGCCAATGGCACAACAGTAGTAGCAATGGGTAAACCCTCTGTCAGGATTTAGCCACCACCAGCCCCAGCGCAACATAGGCTCTCCCGCCACATATATACATATATGTATATATATATGTAAATAAACATGTATATATATCCATCGCTTGCTCGGTATCTACCGAAAGTTCATTATCTTCTTCTACGAATTGTGACACTTTGCACTCGAATTGTATCCGACTTTAATGTATCAGTTTTTGTACCTATCATTTAAACGACTACATATAATTTTTGAATTGTTTTACTAAGTTCAATCATTTTACGCTAATTTTAGTAGACTGATTTCCTGATTTATTTGTTTGGGTCATGTTGGTTGGATTACCGGATGCAGTGATCAATTATTTCGTGTGGCTGCGTTTAAACAAAACCTTCTTCTGCCCTGAGTATCACTCGTTAGTATTGTGTCGCTAGTTATTGTTTCATTGTTTTTCTGTTGCTTTTCTTTGCTTATTTCATTGCGACACCCAGCGGAATTCGGCTCTGTCGTTTGATTTATGTTGGAATCCAAATATATCGTTAGAACTTATTATACTAAATTTTGGTTTTGTTTCGAGCTTTTCCTTGTTTAGTGTTTTGTAAATTTAAATCTATTTGCCTTAACTTATCTCTTCTTTTTCTGAGTTTTATTTCACCAAGGTAATGCGTTGCATAAGAATACGCTTTGGTGATCGTATAGGCTAGCGTAACATGTGCGACGTATACGTAATATCAAAAGGGGAAGGACCGGATTCAGCTTAAGAGCAAAACAGAAAAAGGATTGTGCAAATACGTGCAGAGGAGGCAGCAGTGCGACATATAGCCAGGCTTGAGGATATACAGTTACTAACACGACAATCGTGCTCTGAAGCTGCAAATCAGTATCCTCCTCAACAGAATGAACACGACAGTCTGAGAGTTCCCAAGTGACGTCAACTTGAAAGAGCAAACCAGTCTCAAACACTTTTCGGTGCTCAGTAATCCCGTGAATAAAATCGCATTGAGTCCATATGAGCGAGCATATTGTCAGGTAATAGTCAGATCAAGGACCATGATGGCGCTGTGGCGCGCAAAACTGTTGCTCAAGATACAAGTGGGGGGTAAATTTGCCATGTAGTGATCCATGAGCACAGGAGCCCAAACAAGGTTTAGAGCAATCAATGACCATTGCGAAGCCGAGATGATCTGTACTCCACTAAAGCATTCTTCATAGTAAAATCAGTTGCACAGGTTGGATGTAAAAGGTTAGGACTGCTCAGTGTGAAATGTCTAGCTGTGGACTTTATTTTTGTGGCGAGTCACATGGGGGGGCGTAGGGGGGGGGGGGGGGGGAGGGGGGGGGGGGGGGGGGGGGGGGGGGGGGGGGTGGGGGGGGGGGGGGGGGGGGGGGGGGGGGGAATATTGGTTGTTGGTTTTTGGGGGGGGGGTGTGGGGGGGGGGGGGGGGGGGGGGGGGGGGGGGGGGGGGGGGGGGGGGGGGGGGGGGGGGGGGGGGGGGGGGGGGGGGGGGGGGGGGGGGGGGGGGGGGGGGGGGGGGGGGGGGGGGGGGGGGGGGGGGGGGGGGGGGGGGGGGGGGGGGGGGGGGGGGGGGGGGGGGGGTTGGGGGGGTGGGGGGGGGGGGAGGAGAGGGGGGGGGGGGGGGGGGGGGGGGGGGGGGGGGGGGGGGGGGGGGGGGGGGGGGGGGAAAAAGGGGAAGAAGAAACATGAGCCACACCACGCGGGGAGTTGGAGAATGGAAGGGGACAGACAACCGGGGTAGCATGTGAGAGCGTCTAGCTTGATAGGATAGCCTAGCACGTTGCAGTGTTGTTAAGCGGACAATTGTGGCTTTTTATAGGGAGAACGCTTGCCAGGCGAAAACCCACCACATCCTGGAACACTGTCGTATTTTCCGTTGAACTGTAGTGCTAGTCGGCTATCATCGTATAGACCGATTTTGCACTCTATTATTCGCAGTCGGTTGAAAGGCCAAAATTTTTCCTTCGTTGGCCGAATGGCTTAGTAATGATCCGGCAGTAGTCGTTGAAGCCGGTCAATGAGGTAAAAAGTCGCAAAGCTGAATGATATTGATGCAGGTGAGTAAACACATTGTTAATAGAGGCCTGCTTTTTCTATTATATTGTCCGGCTCACAACGCGTGACCAACTATCCATACTGGACTTGTCATAGGGGACGGTAAGTGCAGTTGTTTCCTTGAGTCTGAATATGTCCATAACAGAAAGAAATGCTATTCTCCGCAAAGTGGACTAGTAATTCCTTCAAATGTAAGTGCAAGTGTCTCCATGGCCAAGTGAGAACTCCATGAAAGATCATCGGAAAAGCCGCTTATACGCGCGCACTGCTGTCCGTGAAATGACATCAGAAAAGCTCCAGGTGACTGGAGAAATCGGAATGTTTGAGGCAGTGAAGATAATCACGCCAGAATTGTCTGTCTTCGGTTGTGGAACAGTGGATCCATGTAAATACATTATTCCAGGTAGTAAAATTGTTCTACTGTGAGTACGAGGGCGAGCTAAACCATTTGTTTAGACTCCGTGGTGGTAGCTTCTATCTCAGAATGGCGGAAAGAGCTCCATTTGGGAACGATATGTGGGTTCTTCATCTCCCGGAGAAAAGATCAAGGCATGTAAACCAGCTGACTATTGAGGGTGGGTCGACCAGTCCCAGTGGATAAAACCTTCTTGTTTTGGCTGATGTTATCTGTGGAAATCTCGGGAGAAAACGCGGCTAGCGGACAAGAGGCAGCCAAACAGAAAGACAGGCAATGAAGCAAGAAGCACAAAACATAGACTGGTAGCGCGCAACGGTGCCTATGATACATTAAAATTGATGTCATTTGGTTTAGTATACATGATTTGCAAGCGCGTTCTTTACATCACGTCGCTGGTGTGACTCAGACTACAACTACTAGGTAGAAAGAAGGATCTGCACGCGCAGGGTCAAGAGACGGATATAACAAAGCGAGTTGACAAAGTTAAGCGATTAATATGATTGTTGGAGAGTAACAGGTAAACCGACGATGATGACAGCAGACCGAATGCAAGCGGCATCTTAAGTGAAACTAAGGACAACTAGGTTACGACCGAATGCGGGAGCAACACAGGTAAGGCAACGTTCCAAGAAGAAAAGGAAATTTAAAGAATCAGCTATGAGCGGAAGAATGCGGACGCCAGTGCGAGGAGTAAATCGTGAGAACAATTGGGGGACGATAGTCAGGATGAAATAGGTTTACTACTAAAGTGTGGTGAAGCTAAAGACGCTCTCGTGCGAAGTATGAATCGATCAGTCCTGAAAAAATCACCGGTAGATATCCGGTAGTCAGAGAGAACTCTGAGAGCCTGAGACCGAACAGACGAGACTTGAATAGTCGACACATCCTTAGGCCTCGTACTAGTCCCAGAGCATTTCACTGATCAGATGATGACATAAGAAGGGCATGGCACTAAGCGTCGGTCATCCGGATTGAAGGATAGAGGGTACAGGTTACTGATGGAAATGCCTATATTAATAAAGGGTAAACAAGTCTAGCCCGGCTGTCAATGTAAGGCAAGACTATACCTTTGGGTCTAAAGAGATTAGATCGGTATAACTTGCTACTCTGGAAAAGGTCACAGGAGCAGACCGGTCAGATGAGACTAGGTATTACAAGGGCACGGAGAGTTGGCAGTCCGATTAAAGAAGAAATGATAGTAGAGAACGCCATAAGGAGAGGAGACGGTCCGGATAGAGAGAGGTTTACTTATAAGGTGTGGAGAAGTCCATGGGGCTCGAGAGGTAATGGGGACAGAGCTTTCGGTGTTTTTATCAAATGCCGATAAAGTCGCAGCAGTCTGAATGAAATTCGGAGAGCAGGGGGCCGATCAGACGGAGCTGGGATTAGTTCGGCACATTGGGGTGTATGTCGTACAGTTGAGGAGGGAAAATAAAATAAAGAGGTCAGCGGAGGACGGGATCCAGGTTGGGAGTCAAGTGGCTACATGAATATAAGGTTATGCAAGTCAGCAGGCTCGCAATGTGAGAGAAGTTGTGTGTTGGTGATACAGAGCCTAAGACTACGCTTGCAGCTAGTTAGGAAGCAGTCAAAGAAGGATAATAGGGCAGGGCCTCTGAGAGCTCGCTATGCGGATGAAGAAGTGATAAAGACAGGCCGCAATAAGGAGAGGACAGAGTCGAGAGCTACGTTTACGGATAAGCGAAATGCCAACAGTTAACGTGGCTCTCGAGGGTAATGGTGACCGAGCATTCAGTCATCGAGTATGGCAGGCAGCGTCGCAGAAGTAGGAGAGAAGAAGACCGATCTGCCGAGGTTGGACTTGGTCGGCGCATTGTGATTGAGTCCTATGGTTCATTTGGAAGGGAAAGTGGAGTCAGTAGGATTGGACTGAGTCAGAGATAGAAGTGAGGTTATGTTAACATAGGGCGAACAATTCGGCAGGATATCAAAGTGAGGGAGGAAGTGCTTTGGATCGACGGAGCCTAGACCGCTAACATCCCGGTAGCCTGGTAGCAGTCCCATAGAATTTGGCTGATCAGCTGAGGCTGTGTTACGGATGACAGATCGTCCGATTGAAGAATGATTGAATACAAACGGCGCTCAGTCATCTGAACGATAGCCAGTAATGTCACAGGAGTCTGAGAGAAGTTGGAAAGCAGGAGACCGATCAGACGAGGCAGGATTAGTCGGCGAAACGAGATTGAGTCCAACAGCTAATTTTTGGAGGGGCAACTGGAGTGGGTCGAGAAGGTGGAGGTGCCTATATAAATAGAGGGTGAACAAGTCTAGCATGCTGTCAACGTAAGTGCGACATACCTTGAGTCTACAGAGTCTAGACCGTTTAAATGTTGCTGGTATGGAAAAGGACAAAGAAGCAGACCGGTCAGATGAGACTAGGTCATTACAGGGCACTGAGAGTTGGCAGTCCGATTAGAGAAGAAATGGTAGGAGAGGAGACGGTCCGGATAGAGAGAGGTTTACTTATAAGGTGTGGAAACGTTCCATGGGGCTCGAGAGGTAAATGGGGACAGAGCGTCGGTGTGCTCATCAAATGCCGGTAACGTCGCAGGGACAGTCTGAATGAAATTGGAGCGCAGGGGCCGATCAGACGAGACTAGATTAGTCGGCACCTTGAGAGTAAGTCGAAAAGTTAAGGTGGGAAAATAAATAAAGAGTCAGCAGAGACGGACAAGTTTGGGATGCAAGCGGCTACATGAATATAAGGTATGCAAGTCAGGCAGGCTCGCAATGTGAGAGAAGTTGTGTGTTGGTGATACAGAGCCTAAGACTACGTTGCGCAAGTTAGGAAGCAGTCAAAGAGGATAATA